AGTTCATGATATGTCACACACCCATTCAATGAGACACTTCAATCTCTATAAATAGAGACATCCGATTCGTTTTTGAATACCCCAAATCAATTAATATACTCTTGATTTCTAAATTTCTTCTCTCTCCATATTCTGCAAAGATTCCTTCAATATATTCGTGATTATTCCGTTCGAGTACGATCATTATTTAGTTCGACCGATAAGGTTGATAGTGTGCAATATCGACTTTGGAATGAGTGTTGTATCTTGGAAGAATGACGTCTATAATCATATTTGCACTTTATTGGGAGCGAAATCTGACTTAAGGAGATTTGTTTTGGCATACCTCACTTCATCTACTGCATTCCTTTTCTATTCTTTTTATTTCTTCTTAGTCGAAATTTCGGACAACATAAAGATTTCGGCAACCCAGTTTCAGATACATACTCCCATCCCAATCTCTGCTTCTTTCAAGCCTTCTTTCCAACCTGTTGTTCGTAATTTCCTTGGCCCCTGTGTGTGTTTTTTATGTTAAAGATTTTAGAAGTTGTTATTTCTTATATAATTTGGGAATTATGGGTTTTTGTTGATATAAGTATGCTAAAACTTGTAAAATGATCTAAATATAAAACTTTGTGAATTATATTCATCCCGCCAGAGCACGATACTATAATTTATGTTTTTGTGCTCCTTTGTTTGTACCTTGTTCGGGGAAGGGAGTATAGAAAGTTTGCAGTGGCATTAAGACAGTATTCTTTTGAGTATAGATCTCTAATTATTTTATCCATTTTAGTGGATTTTATTCCTGTTTAGTTACCAACATCTTCATTTTCATCGTAATTAAATCATAAATCAAAATATTGGCATGAAAAAGGAGATGCAAGTTAAAATGTTAATCTTTTGCTTCGCTTCAAAAATGGCTGATGTCTTGCTGGCCGACATAATAATTTCAAATAGAAAATTTGATAATGATTGATGTCAAAAAAGGATTCTTGCCCGGACCCAAATTTTTTATGAAAAGAGCTTAGTCAGTTGTTGACGATGATAATCATTGATGCAAACTTCTGTTACTATTCTCTTTTGGTTTTGAATTTTATTGTAGTTCAAGTTGGTTCTTTTTCTTCATGTCTTATAATTGGGAAATACATAAAAATAAACTAAAATTGATGCCATAATTCAAGAATGGCCTTTGACCATTTTAAAGTTTTAAAGTTACTAAAACACCCTCTAGATAAAAAATTGTCTAACAAGTCATTCTAAAATATAATAAATTTCATTTTAGTCCCTAAAAATTTAATCTTATATAAATTTGACAAATTGCTTCCCCTTTGGAATTAAAATTTAATTTT